ATTGGCCATGACAATTGATGGAATAAAATGGCGTACAAAAGGCTGCGGAGCTGAAGTGAGCCTGAAAACTGACAACTCGAAGTTGGGCAACCTGGTGAAAGTAAACTGGATGTGAAAAACCAAATGTCAGTGCGGGTCAGTAGATTTGTCCTGCGGCACGCCGTAAAGAAAGGTGGGTGAAACGGGTCAAATGAAATAACTGACCACGGGCGTAAGTGGAGATTTCTCCGGATGACTGTCTTCACTAAGGTCCCGCTCAGCAGCCGGCGGCAGCAGCGCAGCAGCAGGAGTCGTTTGATGTTGTGAAGTCGGTGGCGTTGTCATGGGGGAAGGGGAGAAATCCGGTTGTGAATGTGGTGCTGGGGAAAATGCTGGTGATGTGGGTGTTGGTGATGGGGAAGGTGCTTGTCTTGGTGGTGCGGTTGGTAGTGGTGTGGAGAAGAGTTGCTGGTCCTGCTGACGTTGCATGTCTTTGAGTTCTTGCCATCGGGCTTGGCATTGCTCAACGGAGAAACCCACTCGGCGAGCCACAGTGGTCCAGTTGGGACGAAGTTTGGGGTTTTCTTTGAGTTCGACCAGGCGACAGTCGGCGTCGCCGTCCCAAGCATCCCAGTCCGCATGTTGGTTCAGTGGTGGTGGGGGTGGTTGCTTCCGCTTGCGTGTTGTGGTGGGTTGTGGATCTGGGGGTGTTGTTGGAGTGTCGTCTGAGTCTTTTGAGGGTGGTGCTGGTAAACGGATGGGTGGTCTGGATGGTGCTGAGTCACAGGATGAGGTGGTAGATGGTAAACGTATAGGGTGGTTGGGCGGAGTTGGAAGTGGCTGAAAGTGTTGGCGGAAAGTGGGATCCGCTTGGTGGCAGTGGTGGAGGAAAACAGTGTGGAGGTGTGCTACAATATCTGTTGCTTGTCGGAGCAGGTTTTGCACCTGCGAAAGTGCCACTGCGGTTCTGTGTATGAGAGTTGAGGTGTCGTTTTGTAGAGGTGTCGGTGTGCTGCTCATGATTCTGAGATGTAGGGGTGTACAGTAGCTAAGAATCGTCACAGGTTGCTGCAGCAGCGCGCCAAAGCAGCCGGACAGCGGCGAGTCTGAGGGAGCGCGTCATCACGAGGCCGTGCATATGAATTAAGCGAGCATCAAATTCCGACAGGCAAAAGTGCGAGTATTCAATGCCGGTTGGACAATCAAGTACTTGAGAATCTGACATGTGAAATACTCCATCAAAACAGCCGGTACAATTCGAAGGAAGATGTTTACAGCAAACACTGCAGAGCTTGAAAAATTGAGGGTTCAAAATTCGCGTGGTCGCTGCAGGAGGCTCTTTTTACTGCTACAGCAAAGGTTGGGTGGTGGTGTGAGACCAAAAGTGGATGTGGAGGTGGTAGTGGTGTGTAGATGTGTGGTAGTGGTGTTATGGGTCCGGTGGAGTGGAGTTGGTGGACCAGGCCAGTCCTTTGACAATGGCGTGGTCCGGGTGGATCACCCAGCAGCGGCCTTTCTGATGAAAGACTGCACCATGGTGGTCGTTAAGGAGGTTCATGGCGTGTTCCTCACCTCCAGAGGTATATTTTGTGGCAGCACCCCAAGCAAGGAGTGTGATGATAAGGGAATGGGAATTCTTGTGGAGGTGCCAGGTGTTGTGGATGATGCGGGCAAGTTCGTTGTGGTCATGGGGTTGGTTGTGGGTGATGCGAACGCCCTGGGCAAAAAATCCAGGGTAGTTGGCAAAGTGGAGTGTGCTGGGTAAAAATCTGCCTTGGCGTAGAATGTTGGAAATGTTGCCGACGGGGCCTGTGTGGCCTGCGTTGATGTGGGCGACTTCCCGGTGGGTTGATGTGGCGCGGGAAACCGCAGGTGGCTCTGGTGTAGTGGCTTTAGTGTTGAGGAAGGGAAGTGAAATGGCGTAGTACTGGAATTGGTCGTATTGGTGAGTTGTGTCGTTCCACTTGGCGTGGGTATATTGTCGGAAATCGGTGATCTCCTTGTAGGTGATGTTGCAGTCTGTGAGGATATTGGCAATGTACTGGTGTTGTGGTCGGTTGGGATTGTCGAGTTGGGTGGCGTGGAATTCGAGCCATTCCAGGATTTGGTCTGCAGGTGTAAAGGTGTGAAAGTTGGGTGGAGGTCGCCAGCGGTTGATTGGGCGGCGGAGGACGGCTGTGGTGGGAAATTGAGAGGGGTCTGGGTTGGAGTGTTCGGTGTTAGGGCGTAGATCAATGGGTTGTGGTGGTGAGCGACTGCGGGATGTCGTAAGGCTGGATGTGTAAGTGGATGTTGAAGGCGACCGCCGTCGCCGGGTTGTGCTGTGATGTTTGGAGTGGCGGTGATGGTGATGTCGGCGGCGGTGGCGGTGGCGTCCTCTGTGGTGATGGTCGGACTTGCGTCGGCTCTTGTGGTGGTGGCGGCGACTGCTGTGTGGTGGTTGCGGGGAAGGTGGTTGCTGTGCTGGTGAGGCAGTGGTGTCAGGTTTGTCTGGTGCTGGTAGTGAAGATCCAGGCGCTGGTGTGGCAGATACTAGCGATGGGGATGCTGAATGTTGGGATACGGTAGCTGGTGGGGGCGTGTTTTGGACCGGCAATGGATTGTCCTGGGCAGTCGTGGGGATGGGTTGGATTGGTGGTGTTGGATCCGATGGTGGCTGCTGTTGAAGTGGAGGTTGGACTGGTGTTGAGGCGTTGATGGTTTGTGGAGGCGGTGGCGGGGGCAACGGTTGGAGTGGAGGCTGTGTGACGGGGGGAAAAGCTGAATAGGGTTGCCAAACGCCCTGGGGGATGGCGGATTGGGGGTCTGTGGATGGATGATTGGCAATCGCAGTCTGTTGCTGTGTTGGAGGGGGATGTGTCAGTGTAGTGGGGGGAGGAAGTTCAGCCGGTGGTGTGGGATGATGTGGTGGCAACAGGTATGAAGGGGGAGGTGCTGCTGTCGGGAATATTGGAGTTGGATGTGTGGGCTGCGGTGGCACGTGACATGGTTGGACAAAAGTCCAAGTGGATGGTGTGCCGTAGGTCATTGCAGTGGCGGTAGGGTTGGACAAAAACGGTGGTGGTTGAAATGGTTGTGGTTGTGGGTGAGGGTATGCCGATGGTTGTGTCGGGGGAAAAGTGGGTGCAGTTGATGGTTGTGGCATCGGCCATGTGGGTTGAGGTTGTGTGGTAGGTAATGGTGGTGGCGTGGTGTGAGCATAGGGCCACGGAAAATGCATGTCGTGGTCGTAGCTATGGCGCGGCGCGGCGCGGCAGCAAAAAGCAGCGGGGAGGTGCCGAATTGTATTGTCTTGTTTGTTGTTGAAGGTGTCATCTCTGGTGTCGATGGTGAGTATGTTGTAAGGTGGTGTTAGATGTGAGCTTGTTGGTAGGTGTGTGTTCATGCATCTCGAATTAAGCTGAAGAGCTGTAATGCCCATCCTTGAGTTCTGTCGATGAAGGAATCGCGGCATCAACATAGCAAACATGGAAACACGCACATGAGTGGAAGACATGAAAAATCTGAATGCTGAAATCTGAAATCTGAAAGTTGGAATCCGAAGTATTCATCAAGAACCGTTTTTTGGCCCGGCGGCCGGTGTGGCAGTTGATTCTGTGAGGGTGTCGGTGCCTTCCTGTGAGAGTCCAGTGAGCGGTGGTGCGTTGGGGTGGTTGCTTTCCCATGCAAGGTCGGCGCCCCTGTGACGGGGATCGCACTCAGCACCCGAGTGGGACGGCTGAGCGGGACACACTTCGAACTTGGGTTTTCAGTTAACGCAATTGTCTCGGTGAGAAGGAGGGTGATGGAACGGCATGGCGAAAGGTCCGAAGAACTTGTAGGTGTTTCAACAATCATTGTTAAAGTCTGCAGTGAAAGATCAGCGCAGTGCGATTGACGATCGGTGGCTCAGCGGCTGCAATGCGGAAGGGAAATGGTTTGTGGGAGGTATCATGAACCACCATGGAAACAAAAAAGGAGATTGGACAGCTTTTTCAAAAGTTGTGGCAGGTACACACCAAAGCGTCCTTTGGTGCTTCCCATCTCGCTGCCCAGCTTTGTTAGACCAGGTCAGCAGCGAGATGCCTGGTCCCCCTGCTCATGTAAAGTGGAAAGAGTGGTGGTGGAAGACCCTTTGTCCAGGGTTGGACACACACACACACATGGGAGCGCGCATATGTGAGAGCACATAATGAGAGTGCACGTATGAGAGCAAACGCCTGAGAGACCACAGAAAGGAGCACGTGTGAGAGCACATGCACACGTGAGGGCACACAATATGAAATACCTGGTGTGAGTGAGCACATATGAGAGCACCCACATGAGAGATTCACAGATTGCGACGGAATATGCCCTTCCGGGTTCACAAAATGCTGCGCCTGCAACGCAATCTGCACTTCGAGGTTCACAAAGTGTTGCGGCTGCCACAAAATTCACAAAGTGCTGCGCCTGGCCTGCCGTGGAATTTGCATGTTGAGGCTCACAATACCATGAAATCTGCACAAGAAATTCATAGACAAGTTTGAAATGCCCAAATGCAGCTTTTAGGCGAT